GGAGGAGGCGGCTCAAAGATCCTTTGCTGCTGCTGTGGTGGCAATGTGGAATACAGTGGAATGATTTTGATGTCTCCGACTTCAGGTCCAAGGTCATCTACCTCACGCTTGATCCGCTTGCAGGCCTCATCAATTTCCTGAAAGGCAAATGTAGATTTTACTTTGTGTGTTGAGGAAACAGAACAATGCGCCTAGAAAGAGAATTCCACTGGAACAGTAACGCAAGCACCAAGTCTTACCTCTTGACCAGTGAGAAAGAGAAGGCAGTCACCTTCATCTTCCTCGCACATATGAATTTGGATGACGGTGCGGATGGCTGCCTCAAGGTAGTCTCGCTCTGGTTCAGGAGTGTAGAAAATCTCTACAGGGTGTGTACGCCCGGGAATAGTCAGGAGAGGACAGTTGTCGAAGTACACCTGGAACTTCCCAGCATCTAGCGTGGCACTCATGACGATCACCTGCGCATGGAGGAAAACTTTGCAGTACATGTTGTTTTTCCAATTTCTGTTTGTTTGTTTTTTTAAAGCACCAATAAGTCCATGTGTTTAGATTAGTGGCAGCTCCAGGGTTCTACTCAGATCACTAAATAAAACAGCATTTTAATAACATTTGCATGATCAATATGATGCAATTTCTAAAGATCTTAGTTATAGAAGATGTTGCTTTATTCAAAAAATGAACTGATACCTTCAGATCCGCTCTTTGACGCACCACCTCCTTGAGTACTCCCATCAAGATATCTGTGGCCAGAGTTCGCTCGTGGGCCTCGTCCAGAATGATCACACCGTATCGCTCCAGTAGCGGGTCATTCATCGCCTCTCTTAGTAACATACCATCTGTCATGTACCTAAAAAAATTACAGATGCGCTTTGTTAGACTGAGACGTTCTGGATTAAAACAAATAAGACAAATTGCTCTGTGCCTATAAAAAACAGCTACTGTGCATTAGCAGACCTCAGTCACTTACTTGAGTATAGTCTTGGCAGAACTACAGTCCTCAAATCGGATGGAGTAGCCCACTTCCTGTCCAAGCATGACGTCCATTTCATCTGCCACCCTTTGAGCCACACTCATAGCCGCCACTCTCCTGGGCTGAGTGCAGGCGACCGCACGCTTAGGTCCAGGTAAGCCCCTCACCATGTCCACACACCACTGCGGGATCTGGAGATCGAAACAAACGCTGCCATTAATACAGATAAAATAACGTGTGTAACAAATCACTATTAATTGTTTTACACACCGCAACATTGCACAATCATACTGAATGTGATGTTACTTTGAAAGCTTTCAACAAACATTACACAAGCTTTTAGCCATATGAGTCTGGCTGATATATTGCATTTCAGACCTGTGTTGTTTTCCCGGAGCCAGTCTCTCCAACAAGGACAAAGCTCTGATGACGTGTGATGATGTCGCTGAACCTCTCCTTATACTCCCACACTGGAAGCTGTAACCTCTTCTTCAAGATCTCGTAGTAGCGCGGCGTGTGCGGCAGGTTTGTGAATGGGTTGATCTGCTGGTGCATGGCCATTTGCTTGAGAGGCTGCAAGATTGGCTCCGGTGCTGTGCTGTTAGACGGGACACTTGAAGGCTTCGGGTCTCTGTCCCGGTCTCTGTCCCTGTCCCTATCTCGTTCCCTGTCCTTGGAGCGGTCCTCGCGGTCTCTATCACGATCCCTGTCTCTCCTGTCAACATCCGGACAAAGGATCGGTAAAATATTTCCAATACAAAAAATGTTACTTTATGATTTCTTGCCTATACCATTGTTAAGATTACAAAGGATAAGTAAGTATTATACCCTGTTCACAGCATGTGGAAAGAAGCAGAGATGGGAAATTTTCCCATGTTTTCAACTAGCAAGTGTTCACATCAGACAACTCGAGAGCTGTATGATTGTAGAGTTGGTCAAGCGAGGGCTACAAAGTACTGTGCATTGACAACATATCAAAATACCCATTCAATACAGGTTTAACTATCATGAATGACAGACTGATGTGAAGTGTCCATGTTTGTTTGTTCCATATTAAGAAGTGGTTTGAAATATTTAAACTTGCCCAGCCGTAGATGTTGATGTGAAAACTGTTTACAACTTGTAATTATGGTGAGTCTTATATGACAAACACTGCATTAACTTGCTCTTACACACACTACAGCCTGCTGATAATAGATTTTAGAGGTTTATACTACTATTGATAAACGACAGTAAAAATAATCAGTAACAAATGTTGCAAACTAATAGCCCTTCAATAATCCTATATTTAATGTTTTTATATTTAGTTTAGCCTTTGAAATGCAACTCAAGAGCATCACAGTTTACCCCTCCAAAATGACAAGACTGAATGAACACTCTTCAAACATTACATTAACATGCTACAACAATATAAACACACGTAGGATGACAGTAGGATTTACTGCAGAACTGTTGTATTAGACTGCATTAGTTTGAGCTAGGTGTAACCTTATTACCTTAAGAAACTTGCAACTGAGTGAAGTCACTTAACAAAACAGTTAACCTGAGTAATATTAATAATTCGGGTTAGCAAGTATGCTAGCGCAATGCTTAAAACAATGCTTGCTGGGAGCTTTTATCATAATACTTTCTAAGAGTAGATGCTATGTTAAGAGCCAAATCACAGTCTTTAAATTTCAAAATCAATTTAAGACAGCTAGCTAAGGTTGTTAGCAATCTGCTAAGTCAACGTTAGCCGCACACACACGTGCCTCAAACGTAGCTAACAGAGATGCTTCGTTTGTTAGCTGGAGCCGTCCTCAATAGCTGCATGTTGTAATTAAAACAATGTAGCTAAATGCAGTAAAGTTACATTTATAACACTGTTTCAGAGAAACATTTAGGTGTGGTTGAGGACGGCTAAGGCCAGAACGACAACAACACCAGTTAATGCTGTCGTTCTGTTTCGGTTCTTTATACATCCATGGTGGCTATTAGCCAAATCTACTAGCATCAGCTAAAGGCTAGCTAGCACCTAACTGATTGAAGCAGATTTGTTCACTTTGGAGCTTCACCTACCCTTCAGACCTCTTCTTACTGGTGGAGTAGTCATCACCCAAATCCAGACGGTGTCTTTTTGACATCTTTAGGGGAACAATAGCTTATTTTTTATATATTAACGCGAACACAATTCTACCGGGAACTAACTTGGTTTCCAGGTTCCTGTGCTTCCGCTTTCCTCTTTTCAAATTCTTTTCTTAGCGGTTGTGCAGATTACATTACCGCCGCCTGCTGGTCTGGAGTGTGCGCTGACACGTGCAACTGTCTGGAGCCCCAAAACTGCAGGCTTTATGTTTGTCAAATGGTCTGTTATAATTTAATTGAAAATGTGTACAGGATTATGGACAACTATTGCACAGTATTCACTGACAATTAAGTATAACACACCAATAATATCTGGAAATTTTTCTTTCTTTGCTTTATTTCTAGTTTTAAGACCTTCATTATCCATTTGTGTGTTGTGTTTGAATGAATTGATGAATTATTATGTCATGCATACAACTATGCCCGGCCTGCATGGGCTAAAAAAGACACCAGAAATTGATGATCATTTGTATACCAGAATATTTCAGGGTTTTGTTGAGCCATTACACATTAATACATACATGTAAATGTATGTCTACCCATCTGCAGCTAGCCTCATCAACGAGGCTACAATCGTCTTTGCACATGTAAATATCACTTCATGTCATATCAGGCATGAACCTGACACATTGCACATATTTGTTGTTAATTGTAAATTGATGTTGTTCCATTGTTTTTTTTTGTTTTTTTTATATTGTTAGTTGTATTATTTTTCTCTATTCTTCTGTTATTCTTATATAACTTGCATTTGTTTATTACATATTTATATATTTCTACATCTATTTATGTCAGCTGTCTGTCTCCGTGTAGCACCTTAACACCAAAGCAAATTCCTTGTATGTGTAAAACACTACTTGGCAATAAAGCTCCTTCTAATTCTAATTTTGAAATTACCATATGTGATGTGTGAGTGTAAAATGTCCTCACAAATCATCACAGTTTATACAATACAAAAGGAAAATGAAACTAACTTTCCACTTCTCCCAATTCACACTTCTCACACAATCTGTTCTCCACCTTAATGTGTTTGAATATGTTGCATATTTCTTATTAATGTGTTTCATCATATTACCACGCAGCATATGGGGTTAGGTAGTATTCAAGCATAGGAAGAATTTACAAATTGCAGTGACAGTGGGATCATATAGGGGCAGAGCGCTGGACCCTCTACCAGCCCCCAGGGGTGGAACACAGGGGCATTGCTGTCCCACAGTGTCTCTTTGCCTTTAAGTGGCTAAATGGCACCAACATACTACTCCAGATAACATGTAATATTGGGTCACATTGTTCATAAAAGCAGTAATCAGTGCTGGAAAGTAACGGAGCAGCCTGTTGACTGAAGTAGCCTAACATTCTGATCACCTTAATAAATATTATGCTATTATATACCCTAGAAAAATATTTGCCATTACATTTATAATGACAATATACATTTTTAAATTATATAATATAATATATAAAATATATATAATCTATATAACATGTATTGTTATAGTAAACCAAACTACCCAACAGGATATAAAATTGTATAATTAGTTCCACTACGACAAGCTACAAAATTGAAAATGCTCCTTACACATTAATGCATCCTAATATAATAATAAAACATACAATTACTTCTACTTGAGGTATATTTTGTTAGTTTTCATACAACTTTTTTAAAGTGCAATGTAGTAGCCTATTGCTACTTGACTACTTTGTTCCACCACTGGCAGTAATAGTGTTAGTTGTGCATAGTTGTGATAGTTACAAAAGCAACTATCTTCAAGACTTGCACAAAAGTAAGCTACAGTCATGTGGTCATTGCTGTTCACACTTTTTGTACGTTACAGCTGTTTAGAGGGGTTGTTTAAGGGGGAGGAGTTTCTGTCTGTAGAACAGAAGGTCTAAATGTTTTTAGACCCTTAAACAGGCCCCTAGAACAACATGAGCTGAAGAAATACATGCTCAGATTGAGAGACAACAAGGGCAAGTAAACACTAGCATACACACATACCCTGGAGACCTCTGCGCCTCCTTCTGAAAACAACGCCTACTGACACGCTCACAGGCAGCAAGATCTTTATGAAACATTACAGCGAGACTCGTCTGACGATCAACGCTGAGCAGCTTATCCAGAGTGAATAGCTTAAAGGTGGGGGTTTTGCAGCGGTTTGTTTATCCTGACAATGCGTCCACACGGGTAAGTGGACGTTAATCTTGTAGCTGCATCTGCGTTTCGGTTGTTTAGTTAACTTAAATTTGCAGGATGAAATACTGCGACATCATGTTTGTCTAGTGAGAATAGTTTGTGCTCTTTATTGTGCCCCTTATTATTTTTCAGGGCTAATATACTGTGTATACAATGTAAATATCATTGTACAGTAGCCTATTCTGATGTAGGCTATCCAGTATTAACATTGTCTACATGTCTATATCCACAGACAGGCAGGAGTTTGTTATGCAACAGGATGTCAATTACAGTTGAAAAGTCTCTGGAGTATGGAGTATGTGCCACTTTAGGGAAATACTGTACTTTTTCTTACTCAACTACATTCATAGTAGAGGAATTTACCAGAGTACACTTTGGCGTGCTAAAGTACATTTGCCAGGTACATGTAATAACTCCTTTTTGTTGTTGTTGTTGTTGCTGCTTCACATTTATATTCCACTACATTGTACTAGGAAATCTGACTATTTGAAACCACTCAATTGTATAGAAAGTAGCTAAAATGAGCTACACCATCCATCAGCAATGTTTAAATACATGGTAATTGATTAGTTTCAGTAATCCCATAATAACACCCTGAAAGGAGTTATTCTGCATAATTAGTACTTTTGTGATACTAAAGTGCATTTTTCTGACAATACTTCTATGTAATGCAGGACTTTTATAATATGTAAATATTATTTATAGTGTGGTGTTGGTACTTTTACTCTAAGTGAAAAATACTTGATGGTTATTTTCATGCAAAAAATGTGATGAGCTTATAAATAAGAGGCACTGTCCTAATGATTCTAATATCTTTCAGGTCAAAAAGCGTATTGGGAGTAGCAATGTTGGTTCTGCTGGCAGGCTGTCAACAATGTGTCTCAGCTGACAGTGATACTTTGGCTCCACCAGAGGTCTCACAGCACAATGGCACTCTGTATGCAGCCTGCAAAATGAGGCCCAGCACCTCACTACCTGAGGGTCTGCCCAAAGTGTACGGTCAGGCGCTGTTTAAGCAGGATTATCCTCAGGGAAAACTCAAAGTCCTTCTTCGGTTCAGTGGTTTCCCCAGAGAGGGTGATGCAGAGCCCAGAGCGGTGCACATCCATCAGTACGGAGACCTGAGCCAGGGGTGTGACTCCACTGGCGGCCACTACAATCCACATGGTGTAAATCACCCCTACCATCCTGGAGACTTTGGTAACTTTGAGCCCCAGCAAGGAAAAATCACTGCAGCGATAGAATCTGAGGCAACACTGTTTGGAGGGATGTCTGCGATTGGAAGAGCAGTGGTGCTCCATGAAAAGATAGATGACTTGGGTCAAGGTGGAGACGCTGGGAGCCTTCTGCATGGAAACGCAGGCCGGAGGCTTGGCTGCTGCATTATTGGGATTTCCTCCCCCAAACTCTGGAATATGCACAGTAAGCTGTACAATAGGCAGCTGACAAGAAATTAGTCTTACAGTAGTGGCATATACTGCAGGTCAGCTTACTGATTTACCCCTTTGTGTTCATTGTGCTCCTTGAATGATACCAAGAAAAATCAGTGACTCCCAACAAATCCCCATTCTCCAAACATTCTGGTCTGGGCCAACTTAGTTAATGTACTTACAGTTACTAAGAATAAAATATAATGATTCAGATGCTACATATTTTTAGCCATTTAGTTTTGCTAGAGGTGCATTTAGTTGGTCGGTCCACCACTTTGATCCAGATTAAATACTTTTATAACTACTGTATAGGGCTGGGCGATATGGCCAAAAATGTTATCATGATAAACTGTTCCATGTCTTTCGATATCGATAATTATCACGATAAGTATCAAATCGTTATTTCTCTAAAGCTTAAAGGCTGATTTTTGCTCCTGAGTGAAAGTTGAAGAAACCTGATGGTTAATTGGGGTTTAAACTCTTTTTTATGGTCAACACTTGATGCCAAACAGTGAATCACTTCACAAATCTGAGGTAGAACATTCAAAACAATTATCATAAAATCTTTACCAACAAATATGCATTATGTAAAAGTAAGTAAAAGCTTTTTCAGTCCTATGTCCTCAACAAAATAAACAATGTTTATTGAATATTTTTTAAACATTTGTTATATTGTTATTGAAAAAAATTTATATCGCGGTAATTATTGTTTTATTGTCCAGCCCTACTCCTGTATGGACTGCCATGAAATTTGGTAGACATTCACTGTTCCTAGTAAATTTATTCCACAGACTTTGGTGATCCTCTAACTTTTCCTATAGCACCATCAAGTCAAATTTTCAATTTGTCCAATACTTAGTTTTATGACCATATACTTGCAACGAAATTGCATCTTACTGAGCTGTAGGCTACTTTGTATTTAGGTAGCATAAATGGTAGCATGCTAACGTGCCAAACTAAGATGGTGAACAAGATAAGCGTTACACCTGCATGCATCAGCATATAAGCATTGTCATTTGAGAACATGTTAGCCTGCATTACATACAGTTTAAATCTTTACATCCAGGGCAGCATGTCACAATATACAGTATCAAATGGTTCATCTCATTTTGGATTCTATATTTAAAATGAATGTTAAAATACAGTAGATAAATGATTTTGCAGAAATAAATCCATTTTGCACATTTCAATACATACATACATATACATACATATCCTATGTCATTTCTATCTGGTGAGTTAATATTTTTCACCACAAAAATAAAAACATAATATAGACATCGGTGCTGGTAATCTAGATGCTGTGGCTTTGTTGTGTTTCAGACGATTAAGTTCTGTCAATGTTTCAATGCCAACTGACAAATTATTGTAAACTAAAAGCATGGATAATAAAATACAATGCAATTATCTTTAATTGTCATGCAGCATTTTATACAGCCTTGATAATATTGAGTTTGCGTGATTAAAATATAATTTGTGTAAGGACATTTAGTTTTAAAACAGAATAACTGTAGCTTCTAGACAGAACCTGCTAGCACAAAAGGGGGAGGGGGCAGAGGGAGTAAACATCCCACAATATAGTAAATCAAAAAGACAATAATAGAAATAAAACTGTTTGGTAATATTTGTATTAGGTTTGAAGAAACAAAATAAAGTAGCAGTTGGATGTCTATTATCAATGTAGTGATCAATAAAATATTGGAATCCTTCAGTTAATACGGACACGTGGACAGAGGTAGAAAGATAGAGGAGTTTCTGACAATTCATTTCTAAGCTACACCACATTCTTGATTTTATGGTCAACTGACAGCAACTGCACGCTGTCCCACTTCATTTTGAGCTCATTTCTATGTGAAACAAAAACTGAATCAGTGTCTTGCAGCAGAAATGTGTAAATTACCTTCACTGGTGAGTTCAAATCCTGTCTCAGTCAGATTTTATCACCATAAAATCACAATTTCTTCCCTCTCCACTAGAGCTGCAACGATTAATCGATTAATTACTACCAACTATTTTGATAATGGATTAATGGGTATCAATCATTTTTAAGAAGTAAAACTTCTCTGATTCCAGCTTCTTAAATGTGAATATTTTCTGGTTTCTTTACTCCTATAACAGTAAACAAACAACTAATCCATGTATTGATAAAATTATGGACAGATTAATAGACAATGAAAACAGCGGTTAGTTACAGCCCTCCTCTCCACCTCTGATAAACAGACAATGTATCGCTTCCAACTTTTTTGCAGACAGTTTGGGCATAACCTCTTTTTCTGTTTCAACATGACAATGTTGCAAAGCGAGAAATGGTTTTCCCAGGTTGGTGTTGAAGAACTTGACCGACCTGCACAGAGTTTTGACTTCAGCCTTTTGGACATATTGGAACACTGACAGGTCATCTTGCCCAGACTAACTAATGCTCGTCCACAAAATTTGGGACACGTAATGTAATTTATCAGTTTAAAAGGTGGGACGACAGTAACACTCTCAATGGATCAAACGAAAGCTACTAGCTGCTATAATCAGCTACTGACAGTTGACAGGTGTATATTAATGAGGAAGCCCTCCATGTAGCGTCCCAATAACTGATGCTAAGTAACAGATGTAGGCCTCCATTATCAAAATAAAAATCAATCAAAATGTAGTGGTTATTACAATACAGCATCTGTCAATCATAACAGCTCAATAGTGTCATTATTCATAAAGGTGAATAAAGTAGCATCGTGTTATAAATGCATCATTCATCCTTATATTTTCTACCCTATATCCTGAGTAACACAAACGTCTGTCTCATCTGAAAGCTTTGTCTCCCCATGGTTTGACTGGATGTCCTCCTGCTCTCCAGCCGAGCTCGCGGCGGCCGCAGTGGATATAACATTATTGATGTTTTCCTCTGTTAGAATACACTTAGTTTCAACAGTTTCGACCCCTTCAGTGCATTCATCGAACTCTGCCTCTCCTCCTCCTGTGGGGTCAGGGTTCTCTAAAGTTTGCCGCAAGTGGTGTGTGCTCACATCTGTCACTGTGGGAGGGGAACCACTCCGACACTCCTCCTCTCCTGACAGGTGACTCGTTAAAGCTGTTAAATCAATTGTGATCTGCGGGTGACCGCTGTCATCACACTCGTCACTCGCTGGTGTTTCTGGCTCTTCCTCAGCTGACTGGTATGAGGGGCGCTGCTGGCACGTCTCCTCGCTGGATGGCGGCTGTTCCTCATCTTGGAGTACATCTTGCGCTGGTTTTCCACTCTCTTGGTTTTGGACTTCTGCGGAGCTCTGCTGATCAACAGCTATCTCTTCTGACCCTTCATCACCTGTAAGAATAGACAATTTAGGAAAATAATCTCACCAACACACAGAGAGACGACAGATGGCGTGCGTTCACATAAGTATAGTCACATTGAATATTCACCTTCCTGACCAGGAGACTGTGCTGACTCAGCCTGCTGAGGATTCAGGATGATGGTGTCTTTTCCTCCTATTATGACAAAACATTAGTCAAAGTTAGACTTTTTCAAAGCGTTAGAAATGTATTCATCTGTATGTCTGTTAGATTGGATAAATATGAATAAATGTGATTTGGGCAGATACAGTGAGGAAAATAAGTATTTGAACACCCTGCTATTTTGCAAGTTCTCCCACTTAGAAATCATGGAGGGGTCTGAAATTGTCATCGTAGGTGCATGTCCACTGTGAGAGACATAATCTAAAAAAGAAAATCCAGAAATCACAATGTATGATTTTTTAACTATTTATTTGCATGATACAGCTGCAAATAAGTATTTGAACACCTGTCTATCAGCTAGAATTCTGACTCTCAAAGACCTGTTAGTCTGCCTTCAAAATGTCCACCTCCACTCCATTTATTATCCTAAATTAGATGCACCTGTTTGAGGTCGTTGGCTGCATAAAGACACCTGTCCACCCCATACAATCAGTAAGAATCCAACTACTAACATGGCCGAGACCAAAGAGCTGTCCAAAGACACTAGAGACAAAATTGTACACCTCCACAAGGCTGGAAAGGGCTACGGGGAAATTGCCAAGCAGCTTGGTGAAAAAAGGTCCACTGTTGGAGCAATCATTAGAAAATGGAAGAAGCTAAACATGACTGTCAATCTCCCTCGGACTGGGGCTCCATGCAAGATCTCACCTCGTGGGGTCTCAATGATCCTAAGAAAGGTGAGAAATCAGCCCAGAACTACACGGGAGGAGCTGGTCAATGACCTGACAAGAGCTGGGACCACCGTTTCCAAGGTTACTGTTGGTAATACACTAAGACGTCATGGTTTGAAATCATGCATGGCACGGAAGGTTCCCCTGCTTAAACCAGCACATGTCAAGGCCCGTTTTCAGTTTGGCCAATGACCTTTTGGATGATCCAGAGGAGTCATGGGAGAAAGTCATGTGGTCAGATGAGACCAGAATAGAAGTTTTTGGTCATAATTCCACTAACCGTGTTTGGAGGAAGAAGAATGATGAGTACCATCCCAAGAACACCATCCCTACTGTGAAGCATGGGGGTGGTAGCATCATGCTTTGGGGGTGTGTTTCTGCACATGGGACAGGGCGACTGCACTGTATTAAGGAGAGGATGACCGGGGACATGTATTGCGAGATTTTGGGGAACAACCTCCTTCCCTCAGTTAGAGCATTGAAGATGGGTCGAGGCTGGGTCTTCCAACATGACAATGACCCGAAGCACACAGCCAGGATAACCAAGGAGTGGCTCTGTAAGAAGCATATCAAGGTTCTGGCGTGGCCAGCCAGTCTCCAGACCTAAACCCAATAGAGAATCTTTGGAGGGAGCTCAAACTCCGTGTTTCTCAGCGACAGCCCAGAAACCTGACTGATCTAGAGAAGATCTGTGTGGAGGAGTGGGCCAAAATCCCTCCTGCAGTGTGTGCAAACCTGGTGAAAAACTACAGGAAACGTTTGACCTCTGTAATTGCAAACAAAGGCTACTGTACCAAATATTAACATTGATTTTCTCAGGTGTTCAAATACTTATTTGCAGCTGTATCATACAAATAAATAGTTAAAAAATCATACATTGTGATTTCTGGATTTTTTTTTTTAGATTATGTCTCTCACAGTGGACATGCACCTACGATAACAATTTCAGACCCCTCCATGATTTCTAAGTGGGAGAACTTGCAAAATAGCAGGGTGTTCAAATACTTATTTTCCTCACTGTATGAAAAGTAATGGAAGAAGATGAAGTTAAAAGGTTAAAAAACAGATGACAGTTATGAGAGGAACATACTTCCATATATTCCCAGAGACACATTATAAGTAAGGCCTCCAGGTAGCAAGAAGCAGAAGGACAGAAGAAACGATGAGAAATGTAAATTGTTGTAAACAGTATGTAGAATACAGGTTAAAAAAAACACAACAGTCTCAGTATATTAAGGTATGTTCACCTGGCAGGCTCCATAATCCAGACATTTCTAATGTTTTTAGTTTCTTCTCCAGCTCTGCTACTCGATTTCCAAGAATCCTAATGGCAAAAGACACAAAAACAATGACAAGCACACGTTATGTCCAGAAAGTTATGTGACATTAGAGTCTAGAAAGAGTGTACAGAGAGAGAGTGTGAAGTATGAGATGGATTACTTGTTGATTTGGCGTTGGTGCTGAATCACCATGTTCTTCTCGTGGATCGTTTCCAGTAATGCCGTGGCCAGAGACTTGAGGTCTGAGATGGATTGAGGCGTCACCGGCAAAGTGCAACCGTTGTCCTCAGACAGTAACAACTCCTTTACTGCACGCACACACACACACACACTTTGTTTAAGTACAGACACCATATGCTGTCTTGCAAATAAGAGTTTAGAAAAATGCTTTTTCTTCACCACTTGTGTGAATGTTTGCATGGTATTTTGTGACATTGTACATACACGATCCTTCTGACCTTGTTTAGCAGAGAGTACCCCAGTCAGTGCACTACTGTTGGCTTTCCCACAGATTTTAGAGTTTTTCCTACAGTCCAGGGCACTCTGAAAATCGGTGAAAAGCATTATTGAGCATGAGAGGTTTTTCAATAAATCCACAAAAATAGTGTCTGTTTAAATGGAATTGAGAAACTATAAAAATATTTCATATAGAAATGTAGGAATTCAATATTAAACAAATGAAAATAACCACACAAATATAGCTACCTTGTACTTCATCAGATTTGTTTTGAGCAAGTTGACTTCTTCTTGAAGTTGACTGAACCGTTCATGCAAATACCTGAAAGATTATTAAACTTAATTAGTTCTATCGTCAGTCTGTTTACATTGAAATAAGCCTTCACAGTTAAGACAGTAAAAGTAAAATCCAAATATCATTATGTTGAAGTCCCCATAAATATATTGTCTGATAGAAATATACACTTTATATACTTTATTTGTTGAACAGACTCATTCAAAACACAGAGATTGATCCTGTAACTGCAGTCATTGCTGCAGATACTCTTATATTTAACAGCGAGGCAGCGTTAAATGTATATATTTTAAAAGGGGAACAAACCTGTTTTCCATGCAGAGTGCATCTATGTCTAAAATCCGCATGTCATCGTTGCCCACGATGTGGTTCATTTCCACATTGAGACGATGAGCCTTCTGCTGAAACACGTCACGCTCTGCTCGTACGTCCTGAAGCTCGTCTGTGAGCGACTTCACGCTGTGCTCCAGAACCTCGTTCTACAGTAACAAAAAACACACTGTGCTTCAACAAGTACATCAACTGTGACTTCATCTACTAATACAGCAGTTTTTTCTTGCTTATAATTAGAATATCCAGATATTTTGCACACCTTAACTCCCTTATTATCATATCTTGTGATTTGTCACTGCTATAAACCTTAATATCTTTTTATTAATATAGTCATAAATATATAGTTGTGCCCCTGTTCCTCTGAGAGAGCCTCCTGTACTCCTAGAGTTGTTGAAAATTCTGCCTGAAATGAAACTGAAATTGAAATAATGGAAAACATAATAAAAATAATTCACATTACGAAGTAATGTAAAAAAAACAACAACAACCTATCTGTTGTATTAAAAGCTGCAATAGAGGGAGGTTTGCTGACTCATAAAGCCCATTGAGCTGCTCAGCAAGAATAAAACACATCTCTCATGTCACCAATGCTAACTATACATTTAATAAGATTTGTTTGTGAGTAAGTTTGTGGTACTTGTACTTTACTTGAGTATTTTCATGCCACTTATACACTATACTTCTGCTCCACTACATTTCAGACGTAAATAATAAACACTTATTTCACAGCTTTAGTTACTTAAGCTTAAAAATGAAAAACGTGTGAAGAGTTTATAGATTAAAACAACAAACAGTATATACGAGTAGAAACTAGAAACCCGATTCCAAAAAAGTTTGGACACTGTACAAATTGTGAATAAAAACTGAATGCAATGATGTGGAAGTTTCAAATTTAAATATTTTATTCAGAATACAACATAGATGACATATCAAATGTTGAAACTGAGAAAATCTATCATTTTAAAAAGGGAAAAATAAGTTGACTCCAAATTTCATGGCATCAACACATCTCAAAAAAGTTGGGACAAGGCCATGTTTACCACTGTGTGGCATCCCCCCTTCTTTTTATAACATTATGTAAACGTCTGGGGACTGAGGAGACAAGTTGCTCAAGTTTAGGAATAGGAATGTTGTCCCATTCTTGTCTAATACAGGCTTCTAGTTGCTCAACTGTCTTAGGTCTTCTTTGTCGCATCTTCCTCTTTATGATGCGCCATGGGTGAAAGATCTGGACTGCAGGCTGGCCATTTCAGTACCCGAATTCTTCTTCTACTCAGCCATGATGTTGTAATTGATGCAGTATGTAGTCTGGCATTGTCATGTTGGAAAATGCAAGGTCTTCCCTGAAAGAGACGACGTCTGGATGGGAGCATATGCTGTTCTAGAATTTGGATATACCTTTCAGCATTGATGGTGCCATTCCAGATGTGTAAGATGCCCACGCCACACGCACTCATGCAACCCCATACCATCAGAGATGCAGGCTTCTGAACTGAGCGCTGATAACAACTTGGGTTGCCCTTGTCCTCTTTAGTGTGGATAACATGGCGTCCCAGTTTTCCAAAACAGAACAGAACAGTTTTCCACTTTGCCACAGTCCATTTTAAATTAGCCTTGGCCCAGAGAAAACGCCTGCGCTTCTGGATCCTGTTTAGATATGGCTTATTTTTTGACCTATAGAGTTTTAGCCGGCAACGGCACGGTGGATTGTGTTCACCGACAATGTTTTCTGGAAGTATTCCTTAGCCCATTATGTGATTTCCATTACAGTAGCATTCCTGTATGTGATGCAGTGCCGTCTAAGGGCCCGAAGATCAAGGGCATCCAGTATGGTTTTCCGGCCTTGACCCTTACGCACAGAGATTGTTCCAGATTCTCTGAATCTTTGGATGATATTATGCACTGTAGATGATGATAACTTCAAACTCTTTGCAATTTTCTCTGAGAAACTCCTTTCATTGCTCCACTATTTTTTGCCGCAGCATTGGGGGAATTGGTGATCCTCTGCCCATCTTGACTTCTGAGAGACACTGCCACTCTGAGAGGCTCTTTTTATACCCAATCATGTTGCCAATTGACCTAATGAGTTGCAAATTGGTCCTCCAGCTGTTCCTTATATGTAATTTTAACTTTTCCGGCCTCTTATTGCTACTTGTACCAACTTTTTTGGAATGTGTAGCTCTCATGAAATCCAAAATGAGCCAATATTTGGCATGACATTTCAAAATGTCTCACTTTCAACATTTGATATGTTATCTATATTCTATTGTGAATAAAATATAAGTTTATGAGATTTGTAAATTATTCCATTCCTTTTTTACTCACAATTTGTACAGTGTCCCAACTTTTTTGGAATCGGGTTTGTATTTTAAAATTCATTTAGGTTACTTTTTGTTCACAAATGACAAACATGTCATGCTTCTCAAATGTAAGGATTGACTTTTTACTGCATTGAATAGTTTAAATACATTTTCCTCAATATACTTCTATACGTTTATCACTGAACATTTTCTGTCCAGGGCTTCCATATGTAATGGAGTATTTTTACAGTGGTATTAGTACTTTTACGTAAGTAAAGGATCTGAGGGTGTTAAATGTCACAACATTGTCAACTACAAGCCAATAACTAAAAAATCCCCCGAATAGCCTGAATGTTTTAAAAAGACAGAAACCCAAGCAGCAGGCAGAGAGACCCTGTCTTCACCTGTTCCCGAGCTCTTTCTAACTGTCTGACCAGATCCTCTCGTTCATGAGCAGGAAAGTGCCGAGCGCCAACCTCCTCGTCTCCCAGCCTCTGTTTGGTGATGGTCATTCGTAGAAGCTGTTGGGACAGAGATAGACTTAGAGATAGATTTTCCATTTTTTTCTGCAATTGTTACAACGTGTGATTCGGCTTTATTTTATCTCTTTCTTTTCTTTTTTGCATTCAATTGAACGCTACTCACTTAATTTAGATACATTGATTCATAACTGGCAAATACCAGACATGTTGGGGATACATTCTAGTATATTTATAATAATTAAATCATTACATTTTGTTGCAGCTTTAATTATAGTTCACAGTATGACATGGTACCTTGTTATCACCTTGGGCTTCCACCAGTCGTTGTTTCAGCTCCTTCACCTCCTCAGAAAGTTGACTGGTTCTTTCTCTGGAGTCTCTAAGTAGCTGGGCTAAATTCACCTGATAAGACACAAGGCTGAGGTCACGATATGGCACAAGCTTAATTCAGCTGGAGGATCAAAAATTGACATTTAAAGCTGTGCAAAACAAAGTTCTCCATCCACTGGTAGTGATTGATAAAGCTGTTGTATAATATATAAACAGTGTACGAAGTATAGTTGGTTCACCCACAGACAGCTGGACTCACCTGGGTTGAATGCTGTGATTTACATCCCCTGGGAATATTTTAACATACAGCTTAAAGACACAGCTTTGTCCATAAACACACTTACTTCTAGCCATTTGTGGCCTATATACAAAGCTGCCAAATGCAATTTTAAGTAGCTTTTTCGATATATTTTTTAAACATCTGCGGGGTAAAAATCCACTTACTTGGTTCCTCTTCTCAGGAGGCAGAGCGGGATCTCCATCCTATGAGTTATAAACACAACGAAAACATTAAATGTAACATGGAAAATTTTTATTCTCCATTTTGCTGCCTGTTGTATCCTGATGCATCTTTAGGACTGTACTAGTTCAGCAGGCACGGAGATGGCTTACAATGAGTTCACTGTATTTCTTCTTGAGTCCTTGGTGTCGCTCACGGAGCTGGTTGGCCATCAGTTTGTACTGATCCCTCTCCTGCTGGCAGGTGTCCAGCTCTTTAGACAGAATCAGGAGAGCTTCTTTCTTACTCTCTAACTTCCGCTTACAAACTAGGAACTGCATGTAAGAAAAAATGTTTTATAAGAAAGAGAAACCAGTTAACGGCATTGTTATTATATTGAATGATGCTAGTAGGCAGTGTCATTGCCTTATTTTAACTGTTTATCAACGAAGACAAAACGAAGCCGCGTGTGGCCTGCAGCTAATGATTCTTCTCATTATCCATTTATCTGTCAATTATGTTTTTGACACAATTCTAACATGAACAAAATTTCCCAGAGCCTATGAGAGATGTTTCAGTTGCAATCATATAAAACTGAGAAAAGCAGCAGATCCTCACATATGAGAAGCTGAAACAAGTGAACGTGTGGCATTTGTGCTGGATAAATGAATTAAAGGATTAATCAATTATCAGGGCTGTTGTCAATACATTTTCTGTTGACTGACTAATCGGTTAAGGCACTTAATTGTTGAAGTGGTATTTTAGATTTATTCTGGTAGAAAAATGGCTTATAATTTTGACAACATCAAATTTTGTATCATTCTTCACAATATAAAAGAATAGAACGGAGCAGCCATGTAAATCATGAACAAAGCATACAATACACAGTGATATTTACTTTTACTACATTGCTACTGGATGTGTGTAAAATACAGACATGAAGGTGATCATAAACACATCATTTTAAGTGTAATGATTGTGAGAGATTATCATTAAAAAGTCCTGCAGTGTGTTGCATAGTATTTTATGTCATCAGTTTATGGCACCTGGATCTGCAGGTACAAGGGGGGAGAAAAAAAGAGAGAGAGAGAGAGAAACACCTACTTCCTCTTCTACATGCTGAGAGAAACCAAAGCTAATCCTGTTCACTCGGTTTAATCTAAACCACATCTGATTTAACTGAGTTCCAATAACTGCTCCAGACACACAGAATTTAGGCACCGATTTGCTGCTAATGTGATAGTTTGGTGGTGCACACCACCAGCTGAGTTAAGGTATTATTTTCACGCTCGTCTCCTCTCCGCGTCTTTTACAGTTTCACCTCGTTGACCAGCCCCTGCCAGTCACTCTCGCTCCTCCTGGACGGATCCATCTCTCTCCGCGCGGCAGGAGAAAAAGGTTAAAAATGATGCAAGATGGGTTTTTCAAATACGCATCCCCATGTTGGACCTGATCATCAGATGCACAGACATTCTGCATGGTCAAATCGGATTAGCTGATCGAGGAAACACGGTCTGCATCACTTCCGTCGGTCCCGACGTCAGAGAAGCGTCACGACGCCTTTTTCAACCCTCGGAAAACTGTGTATCTCTGAATGGTAAGCAGACCTGCATTGTGCAAAAATAAATTATAGAACACTTCATAAAAAGGTGTAATTTGCTTGTATGAATCATGTGCTAAGTACAACCGTATTTCTTAAAAACCAAAATAACAATTGGGCATATTGGAGAAAGAGAGATATAAATTATATTAAGTTTTTTTTTTTTTTTAAATACTACTTTGATGCAGATGTGATGCAGTTTGTAGTTCCCTTTATGAAACATAGGAAGTGATATAAATAGAAAAATTATATAGACCTACAATTTCAAAACAATTTCGCATGGTGCAGGATGAATTTAAGAATTTAACATTTTACCAGTAAGGAAACTATTTACAAAATATAAATAATAATAGAGTGTAATTTATTTCCCCTTTCCTCTAAAATGGCCAGTTGTAATTACACTTAACAAAATTATAAACGCAACACTTTTGTTTTTGCTCCCATTCATCATGAGCTGAACTCATAGATCTAAGACTTTCTCTGTGTACACAAAAGGCCTATTTCTCTCAAATATTGTTCACAAATCTGTCAAAATCTGTGTTAGTGAGCTCTTCTCCTTTGCCGAGATAATCCACCTCACAGGTGTGGCATATCAAGATGCCAATCAGACAGCATGGGTATTGCACAGGTGTACCATAGGCTGGCCGGGGTCTTAACTGACTCTCCTACTCAAATCAGATGTTAAATAAATGAATGAAACTGCAATAATGAACACCTGAAAATCAATACAACTGGTTTAGTGATTTCACAGTAGCCATTTGGCCCTTGATCTTATTTTGTGACAGAGGTGATCGGGGTGAGGACAGAGGTTCCTCATGTTTGAAGGTTTCAAAGTTGCTAACATAAAAATCAAATCAGCAGCATGCTTATGCCTAATGTGACCATTTAAAATAGACTGTGCAAAAGCATATGCATGTTGGAGCATTAAGTGTTACACTGGGTGCCACTGTATAAATTTTACACTGAAATTCAGAAAAAGCTGTCGTCTTATAGTGTGCTCAAGAGGAAACACCAGGTTGCAACATTTAGCTATTTCCCTACATTCCTTTTTGACAGGGAATACAATAACCTTGTTTGTGCATGAAATGTTTTCTAAGAATGTGCAGACTGTTCCAATAACTGCTACTCTTGATAGTACAGAAAGGACAGAAAATGTATGTAGGCTACTTGGCAGCCGTGTTTTGCACAGACGTGACGGAAGGCTTTTATACTGTGGCATTAATCATACACATAATGACAATAATAACAGATGATGACGTCTCTTTGTCTGTCTGACTCTGTCTTAAAATTAATGAAGCCCCTTACAGAGGCCATGTGATTTTAAAGAAGACATGGCCTCTGGCGGACTGAATAACAACATACATAAATACATATATTTTTGGCAAATTTTAACGGACCATTTAAACACACACCCATCCCTCTTAAATTCTCTCTTAAATCATATATATAATATTTGTCATTTGTCCTCTGTTGTAGAAATGCTGGCTCAGAGGCCAGATGCTGACAGCACTATCAATTTTAAACATGCTGTCTGAGGCACTTTGTCTTTGCTTTATGGCCACATTTCTCAGTCTGTGCAGCTGCCAGGAATAGAGGACAGAGGGAAAAACAGATCAAAACAATACACGTGGTTAAATGTTTTTAATGCATTTACACAAACTCATTCTTAAGGTTGTCGACGTAGCGTTGTGTAAAATATGAGCTGTTAATCATTAGTTTAGGGTAGTAGAGTGGAAAAGATACATATTGCTTGGTAGGACATAGAACAGCAATGTAATAAATTTGAAATGCTAACAAAGAATGTATTGCTTATGCTAGATCTTGTTAACATGTTGTGACTTTCAGCTGTTTATAAGTCTATAAGTCTATAAAGACTATGAACTAATTTTCACATCATGCCGTTGTTTTTTTATGTGAAAAAGATGTATATTCCAAGCCAAACAGATTACAGACAGTAATTTAAATCTGTACAATACATGAGAAATATCAAAAGATCAGTAAAGAAAAGAGCACACGTTTGTGTTTTAGGACCATGTAAACATCATTTCAAGTCATATAGCAGCACACAATTAACCTTGTGATTGTAATTCAGAGCAACATTCAGTATTATATATTTTGCATAGGCATCAGGACTTAATAGTTTGTTTTGCCACTAATCAGGCACATAATATTTAGTTAATACATTCTGATTTTATTTGGTAAACAGAATTGGAAGAAAATCTCTGTTTCATGCACATTTTAATCATCAGCCACGACAGTTACTGGGATGAGACGACATCAACATTTCTGAAACCGACAGTCCAACAAGCACACCTACTTCACAAGCCATTTGGCCAGGTGTGAGGAAGTGAGAAAGGGTTAGAGTTCTCTTTTTCATTTGTCACACAATTACTTTTCCGTGTGTGTTTAACCAAGAGCAACACCATATTCCTATACCTTCCAGGAGAGACTGTCTGAAAGTGTCATCGCTATTTTTATCTGACTATCTCATCTTGCTCAAGTGTTGCCCTTCCAAAGAGCTATAAACATTTTTAGTTCACTTTGAGATGGCACAAAAATCAGCACTTTGTTCATGTTGAGGTTTCTCACTTTTTCTTTCACTCATTTAGGCAACAGTGACTGCTAAATGACCGCCAAGTTTACAGGTGCACTGTTAGGAATCATATAAAACGGTCTTCACATTTTATATAACCCTTGATGGATAGGTTTCTTACTATGTGTGTGGTGTGGCCAGGTTGCAGTCTATGGTAGCTTTGGCCAGAATGGACACCCCTTGGCTCAGCCATTGTTTGCTTGACACAGTTATAATAAAAGCCAACACCTTTTAAGATAATATCTAGTATGCTATAAAATTATCTTCATGCTGTTTACAGCATTTTACAATCAGACCTCCATAACAGCTAGAAATGCATGTGAGTCGCAGAAACTTGCCAAAGATGTTTGTCTCAAACTGAGATAGAGATAAGATATATGTAGTTGCATAAGGAAGATATACAGCATTTAAGACTCCTTTGTAGCAAACAGGCAATATTGATAAGTGACCAACTCAAACTGTGGTTAGTCATTATTTTGGTAGGCCTTATAAGCTTAAATCTACAATAATATGCTCAAAAACCATCGATTTGCCCTTGAGGCTGGAGGAGAAGATGAAATTCCTCCGGTCAGTGGTCACGGCTATAAATGACCGGGGTGACTGCACATAAATGTCCTTGAACTTGTGAAACGTTTTGGTCTCCACATCCCAGAGGTAGATTTGTGTGAAAGAATAATCGCTGCCAAGAGCAAGGTAGTGCCTGTCTGTGAAGGTGAAAGGTTGGAGGATCATCGCTCCTCGAGAAGGCAGAGCCTGTACCTCAGTGAACTGCTTATTGGTCCATTTTAGGACTTTGGAATCACCGATGTAGCAGGTCATGGCCAGATACAACTCCCCCGCCTCCCGGAATGCTTTGACTGCAACCACGTCGTCAACATTTGGGATTTCACCATGGAGTATAAACTTCAGGGTGCTCTTGTTCCACAGGTAGATGACAGGTGACTGAGAGCGACTGGCTAAGATGAGGTAGGACTTCCCTTCAACCTCAACAAACTCAGCATCTGTATCACGAAACCACTCATGGAGAAACTGGTAGGAGTAGAAACCAGTTTCATTGCGGTCTGGCTGGTCGGTCCACTTGTACAGGGTAGACAAACCTGACTTGGAGCTGTCCACGATCACAAAGTACCAATCACCATTTATTTTGAAGACCTCAATATCATTAGGCTTTGAGATGTTGAAGACCTCAATAGTTTGAAATTTTGTGAACTTGTTCTGCTGATCGTCAAACTTGTAAATATGGGAGCCACCAAAGAGCTGGGTAACAATGATCAAGACATGGTTGTCGATCAGAACCGACTTGCATCCAACAACAGACTTCCCTGAGAGGATAAAAAAGTTGTCAGTGGTAATACATCACAGAAAATGACATTGAAGTTGACCATAGACACTAAAACAACTTAATTGAATATAGCAACTAAATAATTAACATTAAAAGATAAGGCAGACAATTTTCCTAATTTTTGTTATTATCAACGTGTGTGTGTGTGTGGGTGGGGGGGTTCACATGGAAAAGGAAAATAAACTGTATCAAGCTTTGGCTATGCAGACAAAACTTGTTTATTGGTTTTGTTTTTTTCACGAGATTTTCTGACTCTAAGAAAAATATAAAATATCACCAGATTTATCCTTTAAAAAATACTTCAGGTGTGTGTTTTCAGACCTGTTATGTTGTCAAATTTTCTGAAATTCATTTCAATGTGATCCCACTCCATGACCACACAGCTGTTGGAGTTGGGGGCAGCCATCGCCACGTAGATGTCTTCTTTGAAGGAGAAGATGTCCGCTGACATGGACTGAATGGGAATGGACTGATGACGCACAAAGTCTGTGAGAAGCAGACAAAAACAGACACTGCTAGTCTGCTGACAAAGTTTAAGAGTCGACATTTAGAACCTCACCTCTTGAATCACATTTTTCATGCTGTCAAAAGCATCTGGATGACACCGTATGGAGTCATGGCTGTCATATTTTGGGTTTAATATTCGAGTTTAATACAGCATACTTTCTAACATACTGAGTTTAATTTGTGCATATGTTAAGTCAGTGTTATGCAATGATTTGAAGTGTATTTATGTCAGTTTAAAATTGCTTTGTCTGTCCACATTTGCATTAATAATCGTCTACCCAGGACATTTTTAAAAAAGCACAGAAATGAAACTAATGTGATTATTGTGTGAGCATGTTAGCATGCTGACGTTAACATATATATTTAGGTTTAGCTCAAAGCACCGGTGTGCGTAAATACAGCTTCACAGAGCCACTGTTGAGCTGTAGACTCCTCTTGTTTCTTAGTCTTGATGTTTGTGGGTGTGTGTGTGTGTGTGTGTGTATGTGTGGGTATACATAATGTGCGTGTACACATGATGCAAACATGTTAGCAGGCAGGGAATCTGTTTGTTTTTGAGTGCAGCATAGTGCATGGTAGTGTCCTGTTGAACGGTTTTATTGATTGCTTTCCTTCTTTCTTTCTGTCTTTCTTTTTTAATGTGACATTTTTAGCTGCGCTTGTTAGTATTCATAATTTCTTTTGATAGTGTACTTATCATTTTACCTGTAGAGATGCACTCGCCCGGTGGAATAGGAAGGTCATTGAGCCGCTTGCCCTTCATGTCACTGGGGCCTGCGCAGAAGACATCTGATACTGTGGCATTTGTGTTTTTCAGCCACATCATCAGCCACTTGTTCTCACAATTGCACTGGAAAGAGTTGCCTCTCAGATCCCTAATGTATGACAGAGGGAAACATCAGTATCTGCAAAATCAGCTTGGAGACATTTACTGAACAATAAAATATGTAATATGTTTTATATTGATACGGTGGAGATGGCTTGGGACAGTGCTATAACTCAGCCAAGGTGTGAGTGACAAAATAAAATTAAAATTCAAACCTTGATAGTGAAAAGGCTTCATTTGTTAAAGCTGCAGGACAAAAAACTTGCATCTTCAAAATGTTTACTTTGTAAGAATAAACAGTAACTGTTATAGCTTGATAATGGAGCAGTGCAGAATTTCTGAACTGAGAAATAGGTATTATTTAGCTGCAGTCTCTGCTAAAGCAGTTAAGTTTATGTTTATGCAGCTAAAGCTTGTTCATACAGTTGTTCCCCATATACTGTATTGTTCACCGACAAGCACTTTGGCATTGGTGTAAGAACTATATGTTAACAAGATTTCTTTAAAATTATAATAAAAACAATCATTTTAATGAATAAAAGTCACCCCAAAACCATGATTCACTTTAGAGACACAAACGTCATATTCAAATTTGTGCTAACCACAACTTGTGGGGTGTCATGCTGCCAAACAATACACAGCCTGAGTCAGCTTCACTTTGGAAAGCATGGGAAGAGACCACACACACACACACACACACACACACACACACACACACACACACACTGCTGACACCACAACTGCTTACTCACAGTTCCAGCAATGAATCCAAGTCAAAAAACAGGTCTCTTGGCAGAAACCTCATTTTGTTATTGGCAAGTGATCTAAACCCGAAACACAGTGAGAAACATGAACCAGTCAGTCTTCTTTTTGTTTTAACATCAAATTTTCTCTGTAATAATAAGGGGAAAGGGCTGCAGATGTTGCGTGGATGTTAGAGAGAATGACAGCTGACTTACAGATGAGTCAGATCTCTCAGACCACGAAAGGCATTTTTGGTGATTGTTTCAATCTTGTTCCCTTCAATGAATCTGTTCAAAAATTCATAAAATAGAGGTTAATCAATCAAGCAAAATACAAGAAAATGGAATAATATCATACATAATGTCATGTATTAAATCATGATTTGTAGATGTTGATACACGTTTATTAGGAATATTTCTTGACCCCATAGATGGGGTGGGGGTTTGTAGGTTTGTGCAGAGTGAGATGGATAGATTGAAAGGGTGGGGGAATTATCTGCAGTTGTTACAACATGATGTAATACAGTCCTTAATTATTATTATGTGATATATTCAAGCTAATTGTGAATATGCTGTGCTTGTGCAAAAAACAAATGTATAGAAAAAAACATGCCATTTAATACTCAGTTGGTCAAATAATAGGCTACTACAATAAAGTATATCTTCTACTCACAAATACTCTAGATGGGGAAGGCCAGAGAAAGCGTCATCCTTGATTGTGGTCAAAGAATTTGCATTTAGAAGTCTGTAAAGGAAAAAAAAAAAAAACCCTTACAATTAAGTAAGCTTCAAATGACAACACTAATTCCAAATATCCATCATAGACAGAAAAGGTTTAAATTTTTGATCACCTATCTACTTTTTGTTGTTGTTGTTGTTGTTGTTGTGTGTGTTGCATGTACAACTAAGCCCTGTCAATCGCAGATCGCCTACTAAACAACGACAGGTTTCACGTGACAAGATTGCACTTACAACAGCTGGAGCGAGGGCATGAGTGAAAACATTCCCTCTGTAATTTCTGAAATAGATCCATTTACCATGCTCCTGTTGGAAGAAACACACACAAATCAAACTCGGGTTGGGACATGCCAACACCCTGTACCAGACACACCAAGTGCCAACTCTGCGGGGCAGCACAGAACAGCAATTAAAATGTCTCCCATTGTTTGGGTTATGCTTTATTAGAGAGATAATCCACTTTTGGTTGGAAGAAATAGATTAGTTACTCACAGTGAGTTGATCTCATTCGGTATAGTCCGTGGGATCTGCTGTGAAGTACCGACGCAGATGATCGTCTCCTTGGAGCAGGAGCATCCTGAAGGACATTTGAAATTCCTTTTAGATTCAACTGCTCCATACATACACAGAAGCGCAAACCCAGCCAGTAGCAACTGCTTAGTAGATGTCATGTTGCCTCTTGAACATTAATGGTGGTATATGAGACAGTGGTCGGTGCTGGCAGCAGCTTTTACTCGCCCGGGCGACATCAAAATGCAGCACTACAGTGGAAACTCCTGACACAGGCTGATACGGCTGCAGCTGCGTCCCGGAAGGCTGCTTCGGTTTCCGACGGTGAGGAAAAAAACAAAAACGTCGACTTGTCAGTGATCACAGTGGTCATTTGTTGGTAAGAAAGTATAGACTATAGAGTAAGTAAGACTATAATAACGTGGTGTGCACATATACAGCATATTTAGGCTAGTGTTTATTTGAATTAATGTCACAAAATGTGTCATCACTGGAGGTGGGGAAATTCATTCAGCTCCAGAACACGCACAAAAAATGCCGCGAAGTTGTTGTTTCAGCACCATGGAGAGCGTTAATCATGTTTAAATGCTTATTTATCATGCGGACTTTATCACGTGACACATTCTGCACACCACGGCACTTTGACTCCATTAGTACCGAAGGTCCCACAAAGAGGAAAATGCATTAAGCAGAACAGTAACTCTGCTGCTGGACAGACCGTAGGATTAAGCTTATATACCATCAGTTACCTCAGTTTGCAGCTCAGTTTGATTGGGATATTATAACTGATGCATTTATTTTCAGAGGAAAACAACAGAAGTCTGTGTCTGTCTGTGTTAAGAGCTCTTCACTGGACCAACTGCAACCCAGCGCACACACACACACACACACACACACACACACAGTAGTGTGGTGGTCTATGTGTGCTGTTACATGAGTAAGCTGTACCACTAGAGGGCAGCTGCTGATAGGTTAAAGTTTCGTTAACAAATGGAAAAAGGATCTGTTGTCTTTTGGTAGTTTTTTAAGTATTTTATATCCAATTTTTATTGACAGCTTAAAGGTGTTTTTATGTTATTATAGTATCTGTTTAAATGATTCTGATGGCACAAGTTTGCAAGACATTCCCAGGTGCAATCTCTCTATTATTAGATTTAGCCCTTTCTTTCTTGTGTCATCCCAGGTTGGAGCCAAAGCTGTACATTATTAAATTCCTAGCTTTAAAATACGTAATTTGGGAGAACTATTTAGAAATTAGTCCATCCCCCAAAAAAGTGTTCATTTTCCTGTTCACTTTTTCTGCCCACAACTACACACGCATACATAAACATACATCTAACCTCTTCTTCATAGCCTAAATGTGCTAAATGCTATTACGTATAACACAAGCAGAACTGAGAACAACACTACATACAAATTCTCCAGAAATGTAATCAAAGTAAAAATTGCTAAAATATACAGACACTCTTTTCTGTCTTTCTTTCTTTCTTTTACCTTTTATTTCAGTTATTTATTTTCTTTCTTACATTCTTTCTCACATATACACAAGATCAGTTTTAGTAGGCCTATATTTCCTAAAATGATCAGACATCTTAACTTCTTTGTCTGTTAAGTTTAATCATTTGATCTTCAACAAACTGGCCACAGAAGTCAAGTTTCCTTTCTGGTTCACAACCCTCACAGTTACACTTTGTTTCACTTGATTTGTTGCATTTGCAATCCACAATCATGGCCTTATAAAAATACAATAAAAAATACTTTCCCACATTATCTTAGCTCCAAATGCCACATAGTAGCATTATTCATAGAAAGAAACATTCACTGAACAATAGTGTTGTTAGTTGTCGCAGCAGGCCCTAACAAGGTGTTGACCTTTGCTGGAGGACCAGCAGTTTATGAGCACGAGTGAAACCAAATACCCATCGCCAGAAGGGAGCAACCGTACATGTCTGCCATTGCTGGCATAATTCATGACAGCTCTCCATCTAGCATTGCTGTTTTTAGGCTAGAGTATCCCTGAAACACTCAGGACACGTGCAAGCTGAAACCAGATGACGCCACAGCAAACGTCTCTTTGCTATTTCTTTTGAGACAACCATGAAGATGTGATTAAGGAAGTAGAAACACGTAGAAACTTTCTTTCGACATTTAGTATCTGTGAAATACAAAGAAGTCATGTTAGGCCCAGTTGTTTGTCTTTCAGGGGCATGATGAGACTCATGACCTCTGACACAGAGAATGTCATATTATTACATTTTGCTCATAGTTTTGATGTCTGAACGGACTTTATGAACACAATAAAATGAACTTGTTTCCTTTTGATGACTCACAAATCAAACAGCAACAGTGCTGAGCTGGTAATCACTCTTAAAAACAGTTGAAACACTGAAGACACTTCCAGAAAGGGTGCGTTTGGCAAATGCCTGTTGTTTTTTTTGTTCTTGTTCACAGTCATGTGATTTATTTTGTGTCAAATAAAACAAGCCTTCTAGTGACCAAACACATTTACATAGAAATATCCGCATAAATTATTTTATAACTGCTACTGCTGTAATGTGATTGTCTTTTTCTTGTAGATACAGATGTAAAACAAACTAAACTGATCCTCAAATGTATAGAGTTTCTGAACACGAAACCACTGTAACTGAAAGCATAAGATACTCAGCAGATAATGACTGCAGACCAAACAAACAAGCACATTATCTGTAACACAAGTTTAAGGACCTGGCATGTGGAGATTCTGCTTTCCAATATATGATAATTACTGTAGCATTACCGTTTAGTCTATCAGTACAACACCAATAATAAGACATAATGATAATGCTACAGTAATAGCAATGTAATAGTATTATTACAGTATATTGTAATATTTACAGTGTGTACATATACTTTATATTCAGCTACAGCACAGATATTCTATTGAAGCACTCTTAAATAGAACAGTATTGCATATATATATATATATATATGCAATACTGTTCTATACATATAGTATATATACTGTATATATTGGTGGTGTTTACCATCTGTTACAACTTCTATAAATTGCTGCATACAATGTAAAAACCTTTCAAGAATTTTTTTTTATTTTGGCCAATATAAATAACTGAATTAACTTAACATGAAACAATATGGCAGGTTTTCCTAACACTATTAAGGCTACACTTTCATATGAATGTGTTGCTTCTTTAACATTTTGTATGAATTTGTAAACCTACTGAACACTTTACCACCAGTAGGCTGGTAAAAGTGACCTTAATTACTTAAAGTGATCATTTGTCCTCCTTAAGTAAATTGTCATTATCTGTGGTTTAGGGTAACACTCTAATCCCTTACATCCACTAAACTAGCACACATATGACACTTTCAAATCCAAAGATGACCTTTTACCCTTTGACCCATGAAACTCTTGAGGGTTGGGAGAGGGTAACCTGGAGAAGTGCAGCGTCTGGCTGCTGGTGACTGCTTCAGAGCAGGTGTTCAAGCTCTCAAACTTCTCCAGTTCCCACTCAGGAGCCGCGGGAGGCCACTGGTCGGTATACAAAACTCATCAGCGCTGCTAGGTGGCACAGTCCTAGAGGAAATACAAACATATCGTACTGGAATTATGTATAAATTGAAAGAAGTCTGTCTACAACAGGGGTGGGAAAAGTACTCAGATTTTGTACTTAAGTGAAAGTAATAATAAAGCAGTGTAGAAATACTCTATTACAAGTAAAAGTCACGCATTCAAATATTTACTTAAAATTAAATTAAAAAGTAAAATCTGTTAAATTTAATTAAGAAGTACTCACTGTGTCCTATTTCAGAATAATATTACTGTATTATAATTATTGACCATTTTATACATCACTTTAGTGTTGTAGCTGGTAAAGGTGGAGCCATTTTTTTACTGCTTTGCTGTGTCTCCTGGGTAGCTTGTGAATTTTCCCCCAAGGATCAATAAAATGTTATCTTAATCTATATATAATATAACTTCTTACTTTATTTGTGTTTATATTTTGTATTATTAATCTGACTGTGTAAAGCCACTAGTAAATAAAAATATATGTAGAGGAGCAGAAAGTACAATATTTCTCTCTGAATTATAGCGGAGTAGAAGTATAAAATAGCAGAAAATGGCAATGCTCAAGTACAGTACAACTACCTCAAATTTGGACTTGAGTTCTGTACTTTAGTAAATGTTCTTTCCACCTCTGGTGTTCACAATATATTACAAAATTTACATCCCATCATATTTCAAAATGAGTTTTTCATCATGATTTTAATCAATTAAAATGCTAATTTATTAACCCTTTGACTTGAGTTTCCCCTCCTTTTCCCACACATGTAGCTTTAAAATTTCTCTTAATCCAAGTAGTCTGACAGCATTAGATATATTTTCAGATATGTTTGTACTTCGGGCGGCGCAGTGGTGCAGTGGTTAGCACTGCTGCCTCACCGCAAGAAGGTCGTGGGTTCAGAATACCGGTTGCCCGGGCCTTTCTGTGTGGAGCTTGCATGTTATCCTCGTGTCTGCATGGGTTCTCTCTGGGTGCTCCTGCTTCCTCCCACCATCCAAACACATGCAGGCTAGGTTAATTGGTGTCTCTAAAATTGCCCTTAGGTGTGAGTGGTTGTGTGTCTATGTGTGGCCCTGCAATGGACTAGCGACCTGTACAGGGTGTACCCCGCCCGATGTCAGCTGGGATTGGCTCTAGCCCCCCACAACCCTGTACGCAGGATAAGTGGTTGACGACGGATAGATGGATGGATGGATGTTTGCGCTTGTTCAAACAACTTGAAGCTACATCATATTAACATTGAGGGAAATATTCAAACTGAAGACCTTGTGTTTTTATGGCTGCACCATTCCAAATAGAAATATTCTAGATGTTTGTGCATAATTTTATAGAGAACTATGCTGACAATTTAAATTATATATTAATATTTTACATGCAAACTATATCATCATATTGAGCACGAGTGAAACCAAATACCCATCGCCAGAAGGGATACATTGTTATAGATTAAACAGTGAAAGATATTTCATTAATAATAATGATATAATAAAATGCTCAATTGATTGGATAATGTATGTTTTTAATGGACTATCACATTACACTTTTCAGCATGAATTTCATAGTTGTATATTCTTTAACATTTACAGTTTAATTTAATT